TAAGGACAGAGGGCCGCAGGGAACCTGGCAGAGCGCACCGCGAGCCCAGCTTGTCCATGACGACGCTGTAAGCAGCAGCGTAGCGCCAGGGCGGCCGGGGACAGCCAGCCGTGGGGCTGGTAGTGGGCGGGCACTGAAGCCCTACACTGGCCGCTTCACCCGCCACCTGCAGCAGGCCGCGCAGCTCCGCCCCGCCCTGGTGACAGGAAGAAGACTGAAGACTGTGGCAGGGCGGGGACAGGGCGAATTTTCACCCAACAAAACTCTCTACCATGAAATGCACAACCCCAAAGCCACAGGCACTCCTGCAATCTTAATAATAATTCAAAAATTTTAAAAAACTATTTCCCTTTCCCATAAACAGTAAAGTCCTAGAAATACAAAGTTATAAACTACAGCACACCAATACTAACTCCCATTACACAAATTCCTTCCATTTTAGAGGCTCAAACTGCCAACAGACCCTATCAAGTGAAGTGAACTCATGGGCTCCTCCTTGGGCTGTCTTCAGTCTCCCTTGGCTTTGAATATTCTTGCTCTGTACCTCTCTCCAGGCCACCTGCTCTGTACTTTTCCCAGAGTCAATTTTTGTTTTTCCCAAGGTCCCATGCATATATTTACTTTAGCATTTAAAAAGGAGTTGCAAATACAAAGCGGAGGCTAATGGGCAGATTATAGCCCTTCCAGGGCATGCCTATGAAAGCTGGACAATGAACAAGGACCATGAAGAACTGATGCCTTTGAATTGTGTTGCTGGTGGAAAGTACTGAGAATACCATGGACTGCAGAAAGAATAAACTGGTCTTGGGGAAAAAAGGGCAGGGCGAGGCTGTTCTGTAGAAGACAAGGATGAGAGACTTCATCTCATACACATTGGGAGTGTTTCAGGAGGGGGCAGTCCTTGGAGGACATCAAGCTTGGTAAAGTGGAGGGTCACTGAGAGAGGAAGACCCTCAAGGAGATGTACACTGACTACATGGGCTCAAGCACAGCACAGATTATGACATTCAATGGTGGAGGACTGGATGGTTGTGGGTTCTGTTGTGCAAAGGGTCACTAAGAGCTGGAGTTGACTCCATATAGTTAACAGAAAATGCATAGGAGCTTTGATGGTCAAGTGGGCTGGGATGGGTTACTAGTCAAGAGGTTGGCTTGGCAGTCCAAATCTGTCAGCAGCTCAAAGGGAAATGAGACAGTAATGTCCCCAAAGATCTGGAGCCCCAGAAACCACATTAGACAGTTAGGGTTTTGGGTTAGGACTGTGGAGTCCACGATTGCTGAGATTTCCCAATGTTTAAATGTTGTATGTAAAATAAAATAATTTTAAAGAGACAACTCTGGAGATATAGCAGGGGAAAATTTGAGTATACAGGCGCACAAGAAACTTCCTAGGTTAAGGGGGAACAGTTCTTGATTGTGGCAATCAATGGTAATACAACTTTATGTTAACCAAAATTCAGCAAACTCTGCCCTTTAATTCAACTTTATTATATGTAAATACCTTTAAAGGGGGTGGAGATGAAGGCAACCAGTTCAAAATTATTTTAAACTGAGCAGATTAAATAAAACACACTGGACAAATTCAGCTTCAGCTTATTAGTTACCAGTTAAACCCTTAGGGCTTATTGTAGTTACCTGTTTTCCACCGTCTCCCTCCTTTGGACTATTAAATTCTTAAAAGCTGGGCACACTTCCTAGCAAAGTAATTAACAAATCACTTAAAGTCTTAGTCCTGCCATTTTCATTGTTAGCTGTGCTGACTCAGCTTACCTAGTCTGAGACTTTTTAAAAATTTTTGGGGGGTTATTTTTGGTGTATATCAAGGAAAGACTATAATTTTCAAATGTCTAGTGAGAATTAATAGAGATGAGTGTAAATCTCTTATAATTCAATGGCTCACTTTTCACCCAAACAAGACTGACCTGTAAGGTAATAACATTAGGGAGAAATGCACTCCTTAGGACAATCAATCATCCAAGACCAAAAGAGTAAAAGTAGCCCTGGAATAAAGCCTAGAATGCAGGAAAGGGCAAGAAAGGATACATGGAAACAGTAAACACTGAGAGGAAGTGGGCAAGAGGGTTACTCACCTGGTGGAAGTTGCAATGAAGGTCCTAAAACACAGTATGTATGAGTTGTTGGGAAAAAAAAAATAAATTTTCTACAACCATTCACCCAAATCACAATAAAAAGTGGGGTTTGTTTTTTTTAAAAGTACATTAAAAAATGTTAAGGCGATGTCACTATTTCAAGAGCAAGAATTCCTGTGCTGAATGCCAAAGTTAACTCAGAAAAGCCTCTAGACATGATTATAAATTTACAATCTCTTTAAAAAAAATGCAGGCGAGCTCTGGTGGCCTAGTGGCAGGAAACTGCACTGCAATCCCAGAGGTGAGCAGTTCAAGTCCACCAGATGCTCTGCTGAAGAAGGAGGAACAATCGCCTCCTGTACCAGTCAGATCCAATTTGACGGTACACACATAAATAAATAAAAATTATTTAAAAAAAAAATGCAGTCCAAGAAAATAAGTCTGAGTGATCCTCTGCAATCTTTCATATTTTAAGCCCACTAAATCGAGTGGTCTTTTATACTGATATTAAGAATATGCATTGTTAATAACTGTTAATTACCTCCATTCCGGACATGATTTCTTGAGATGGTAACTCCAGTCTTAGCTCAGGACCATATATAGAGCTCAATGCATGTTTGTTGAATGACTAAATGATAAGGGCTCACGGCTGGTGACTAATAAGGATGGTCATAATGAATGCTGGGGTCAACGGGGAACGATGACTAGAAATAAACTGTATCCTCTTTCTTCAGTTCTGGTGCTTTCACTCTCTCCAGGAACAATTCCAAAAGTTAGAATCCAGAAAATCTAATTCTGCTTCTATTACTTTGACAGGTTCTTCAGATAGTGGAAAACTCTTATGTATTAATGCCAAAGGACCCTGGGTCTTTTTCTGGAAGCTGCATTTCTTCCTCCTCTAGCCTGACCTTCACCAGATTCTAAACTGGACTCAGATTATTCCTAAAACTTAAGACTCCTCCTCAAACTTGAGTCTTTAATCTGTCTTACCCAGACCACCTCCTCTTCCAAAACTCTTTTACTCTATTCCAAAGGTTATTTTGCCTCTTCATAGCATATTGCAGTCTACTGAACCTTTTTTAAAAGGCCAAACATCAATCCAGAAAAGGATCCATGTAGATTGTGGCATCAGTGAGGTCTCAGACAATTTCCTTAGATTCATTTTTCTACTTCAAAGGACTTGTCTTCTTTCTTATAAAGAGGTGTAGATGTTATTGCCAAAGCTTGAAACTTGAGCAGTTCATTGATTTCACTTGCTTCAGTATCAATGATTTTCAATTCCACCCATTTAGCAGATTCTAGGACATTTTTTATCATTAACTCTCAGAAACCATGCATAACCATTCACATATTCCCAGTTTTCACCAAGCTTTACTATGAAAAAGTGGTTTTGTATTAGCCAGTGCTGCTTTTTAGAACCACCAAATCATCAATTAGGTTGTAGTGCAGCCAGCCATATGTCTTCTAATGTAAGGCACGAGAGTTCTTCCATAGTCTGCAAAATGGTCAAACATGAACGTGGTATATTACCTCCCGAGTGCTAACTGATCCACATACATGCTGAAGGCCTTCCAGAAGCAGAAATACGGTAATAACATCCAGATGACTGACTGTAGAAATCTAGTGGCCTATTTCGCAGAATGTTGCACTGCTAACAGGCAAAGTCTCCAGTTGCTTCTCAGGACAAAGACTGGAGGTCTCCTCCCGTTAGCATTTACAGACTGCACAGCCTCTGTTACCCGTTGTGAGTTGAAGCCACTCGAAGGCAGTGAGATGTGTAATTTTGGTGGGGTTTTTTAGTTGCAAGGCTTTGGATCAGTTAATCCCAACTCAACCCCTCCTGCTGAGAAATGCATGTGAATGTGCACCTCTGAGCCAATGAATCAGAATCTCTGTTAACATCAGCATCACCTGGGCATCTTTAAGACCCTCTGAGCTCTGATGAAGTCGCTAAAGTTGTTTGGATTCCTTGGGCACCAACTCAGGATTTAACGATTCTTCTTCCTCCATCAATTTCATATTCTGCAAACAGCACCGATTTTTTGTTCGTTTTTTCATTCCATCACTCATACACATTTTATTTTATAACACTAATTAGAGTCAATTAATATAGTCTATTTCTTAAAATGATCAAGTCCTTTTTGCATATTGCCTTTTCAATAGCGATTTTTACACTTATCCCATGAGCGCATCAAATGTCTCCGGGTTGCTGCTTGTAAATGCGCTTGGTCTGGGTGCAAAACTCGGTCTCAATGCTGCATCTCGAGGGCAGCAGGTACAACACCATACAGCAAACTGGCGAAACACTCTCCCTACCGGCTCTAATGGTTGTCTCGTTTTTCTTAAATGATGTGCACCACAGATCGATTAATGGCAGAAAGGCGTTCCACATAGGTCTTACTCACGTTTATTGCGGATTTTCATTCTGTCTTGCAGAGACATGACTGTGATTCCACTAGCCGCCTCCACTCCGTCTGCTGTTGGCTCAGCCGCTGTGCAGCCTCCACAGTCGCGGCTCTCGCCGGTGCAGAGTCTGGAGGATGCTTGTCCGCATCCCCACCGTTGCAGGGCATCCCCACGACTGCAGGACATTTTTACGAGCCTTCGTTCTCTGTGATAAAAACTCTCAAGCCTAAATAGAAATCGGATTAAGTGTCCAATTTAAGTGCCTAAATTGACGACCCCCAAGCACGGCCAACACCAAGGACCGCGAACTCGACACCCGTAGATCCCGTCACGCGACGCTTAATGGCTCCCTAACGAGGCCCGGCCGCCAAGCCGGTATTGCGATTGGTTCTCAATCACTGCGGCCACTCGGGAATGGGAGGCCGCCCTACGCAAATCTCGCGAGACTGGGAGAAACACAAGGGGAGCCGTGACTGACCGGCGGGGCTCTCCGGGAGGGGGGGGCAAGATGGCAGCCCAGGTGCCGGGTTTACTGCGGGAGGTCTCGCGGTTAGAAGCACCGCTGGAGGAGCTGCGCGCGCTGCATTCGGTACTGCAGACCGTGCCGCTCAGCGAGCTCCGGGAGCAGATGGCAGAGATGAGCCTCGGCCCGCTTTTCTCCCTGCTCAACCAGAACCACAGGTGAGAGGATCCTAAAGTTTAAATGGGAAGCAGACAGCGCCCCACCCCAGTCTGGGGCCCTGTGGATCGGGTGAGAGGCGTGACCTGTCGCAGGGAAGGTAGAAAATAGTTGGGATTTGAGAGAAGTGAGGACCCTGGGCAGAGAGGCAAAAAAGATGGGGGTTCTGATCTCTAGCCTCAGAGATGTGTCCGTAGGTTAGTTTACGGCTGTCATTTGGCCGCACTGCCCTCTACTTTGCAATAGGAGTTCTAGGAGCAAAGCAGTGGTTGTCCATACGCAGGGAGGACTGACTTCACAACCACGTGTATAGGTTAGTCTCTCTTAAACTGACAGCCACGTTTTAAAATCACATACTTGATCCAGTAGTTCCAGTTAAAATTCATGCAGCAACACTCATAAAAATATGCTTTATATACAGAACTATTCATGATTGTTTGTGGCAACCACAAAACCAGAAATAATCCAAATACTCATTGAGATTGAGGTAGATGTATATTGCTGACATGAAAAGATCTGTTATGTTTAATGAAAAAAATTACAGGTTATAATCCCTTTATATGTCAGTGTAGAAAAGACAATCCGTTTCCTCACAGATAAACACAGAATATTGTAAACATTGTAATATCGTCAAAAATGCATATTAAGAGTATTCATGAAAGTGGGGTTTACATTGATAAGGCTGCAATTTTAACTTTTCATTGCCTATATATCGACAGTATCTTATTTGTGTAATTTAAAAATTTTGAAGATAAAAAATATCACTCAGCCTAAAGAGACACGAATATCTAATACATGCTTGCCATTTCAGATACCAAACATTTTTGGTTATCAGTGGTTGGGGGGAAGGGCAATGGAGAGTTATCACCTAAGGGGTACTGAGTTTCTGGTTGGGGTGATAAGAAACTTTTGACCAATGAGGGAGTTTTTCTTTTGCTTTTCAAGGAGAGGAGCAAATGGGGGGGGAGGGGGGAGGGGTTTGTGCGGGGAGAAGGGTGCAACAATGAATGAATGGAATCCCAAAATCTCTGTAGATGTTCATTGAAATGAAAAATAAACAACCTAAATTTAAAAAAAAAAAAAGAAAGAAACTTTTGGAAGTAGATAATTGTGGTGTTTGCACAAGAGGGTGAATGTTATCCATGTCACTAGATTGTATATTTGGGTGGTTTATGGAATTATTTTTTTGTCATATGTATTATACCACCATCAAATGAGAAAATAAAAAAATCTTTTTGCTTGAAGAAATGATCACGAAACCAATATTGGATGATTTCAGAGGACCTTATTGGCTCTGATGTTTTAAGATTCCTCATTTTTTTTTTTACTTGACACCAGTAGTCAGGAAATACACTGCATTGGACAAGTTTGCTATCTGGGACTTCTCCAAACTATTTAAAACAATGTTGTCAGCTTAAAGACTAAGGTGCACCTGATCGAAGCTGTGGTCTTCTCAGTCACCTGCTACACATCTGGGAACTTTACAGTGACTAAGGATGACAGAAGAATTAATGCCTTTGAGTTGTGGTATTGGAGACGAGTATTGAGTATCCCATGAACTGCTGAAAAAAGTAACATACATCTTGGAAAAAAGTACAGCCAGATTGCTCCTTAGACATAAAGATGTCGAAGCTCTATCTCTCATACTTGACATGTTGCTGTGCCTTGGAAAGGGCCATCATGCTTGGAAAGATGGAGGTTCGGCAAACGAGCAAGACCCTCAACAAGATAGATTAACATAGTGACTGCAACAGTGGGTTTCAAATGTGTCAGAAATGATGAGAATGGCACAGGATAGGACAGAGTTCAGGTCTGTTGTAAAGAGGGTCTTTATGAGTCATACTGAGCAGAACTTAACAATAACAGCTACCATTCTTTCAGGGAATTCTGGTGGCTTCTCTTCCAGTCAGTTGGCCAAGTTGTTCTCCAGATTTCTTGACACAACTTGGTGAGCACATCCAGGGCAACATCTGTTAGCTGAAATATGTCAGTTGGTATACC